ATGCTGATCAACCCAGCCGGGTCAGGCGTGCCACGTTAATCTGTGTGTGTTTGTGTGTATAACTGATTTGGTGACTGGAGGAACCCAGCCCCATTGAAACTGAGTCCTGCAACATAAGCTCCATTGGGGCTGAGGACTTGCAGAAGGGAGATATACATCTCCATATAGAAACACAAGTAACACAAGCAGCACATTGATAGAATTACAAAGACCCCAGAAATGTATCCCTAATAAATGAGCACACTTCAAAGTGATGGGCAAATCTAGTAACAGGGGCCAGCCCACCTCCATCCTTGGGCCCCAGTCAAGCATTTCCCAGGAACAACATGGGGATCACTGGGGCCTGGGCACAGGCACAGGAAGCAGAACAGCAAGGGCTGGCACTGCTCAGACCCACAAAGCAGCAGATGGTACAGCTGCAGCTGGACTCATGTCCTGGTGCTGGGAGGGAACTGCTGCCAAGAGGGAGCTAGTGGGGGAAGGCAGGGGCTGCCAGTCAGGAGTAAAGGGCACTGGTACTGCTCTGGGTTAGCAGTGAGGGACAAGGGCAGGAGCAGGGAACTGGCATATCAGTGCTTCTCAGAGCCCCATATCCTGGCAAGCCAAGGGGGCAGGGGCAACCCTATGACAAAAAAACCAAAAGCAAATGCCAAAGTGTATAGCTATATAGAATTCAGTGGTAGGTTTCCAAATTGCTTTAAAATTGTAAATGTATTAATAAAACATTGCCAATGTATTTATCTATATATAGTGGTGTTTCATTTTAATTGCAGAAGAACACAGATTTGGGGTATTTTAATGAAACAAGTTGTGTTTTTTATCAGAGAATTTGCAATTTTTAAACAGGGAACACCAGGATCTCTGCTAGTGAGGCAAGTGGCAGGATCTCTGCTAGTGAACTCAGGGCCAGCACCAGGGACCCAGCTGGAGGACAGATGTGGTGGCTGACCTCCTGACCATCTGGGGCCAGGAGGACATGCATTGACAGTTCAAAGTGGGCCACTGCAAAGAGCACATCTTCTGGGCAGTAGATGCCCAGATGGCAGAGTGAGGACACCAGAAGACATGACTGCAGTGCCACCCAAAGGGCAACTGTGCAGCCGTGGCCCACGGGCAGCTGGCCCAGAGGTACAGGTAGCTCCGCTGTAGTGCCCGTATCACAGCCTAGGCAGCCATGCAGTCCCCACCTGGGTCTGGCAGGTGTGCAGCCATGGGCCCCAAGTCCAAGGGGGTGGATGCTGTTGCAGGTGGCAGCAGGTCTCAGCCAAGAAGCAGCACCCACTGCGAGACTGCTGCAGTGGGTGGGGGATGCAGGAGCCACTCTAGATTAGGGCTGCTTCAGAAGTCCAGCTGGCGCAAGGTGTTAGTGTCCCCAAACACCAACTGGCCAGACCTCAGAAGCTCCTGTCTATCTGTGTTACCCTAATGCCATGGGCCCAAGGCCCACCCAACTAACTAGTATCCCCTATAGTGTGGGGCCAATGAATGAATAACACAACTAACTCCTTGGGTCAACTAAAGCAAAAACAGGATAAGAGTGATGTGGGGCTCAAAGTTTCAAAATGTGAAAATAAGTGCTCCAGAGGGGAACACCAAGCAGAGCCCCCTGGGCCACACCCACTAGTCTGCAAAGACATCCAAGGAGCCAGTGGACACTGCCCACTGGTGCTCTGCCTGAAAACATGCACAGACAAGTGAGAGGAAAGTGGCCCCACAGTCTCCAGGCACCTTCCCAGCCAGAGCCTCCTTCCTGGTCAAGTACAGGGCCCACTTGGCCAGAGCTAGGAGGAGGATGACCAGGAGGTCCCAGGACTTGGTGGGGCCATGGATGGGGTGACCAAAAACAAAAAGTTGGGGGATGAAATTCAACCAGAACCTCAGAAGTCAGTTTGCCCCAAATGGCACAATTTGCCCCACACCAAAGTGCATGTTCAGGCACATGTGCTGAGACAAATCTCCAGCCCAAATTTATGCTGCTGCTATTTGAGCTGCTGCAAGCACACGACTGCATGCGTGGACATGCCCTTAGTGACCATGGGGTGCTGAACACATACTAAAAGATATTCTAGTGGTTTCTCATTGCAGGCATAAGTCAAATGTTTTTTCTGCACTTTCTGGTCATAAATCAGGGTTGGAACTAAGAAATGTCACTGAGAAAGCCTGAACAAAGCAAGGAAACCCCTAGCAGCAGGGGACTGCTATAGAGCAGAAAGAGCAGGGATGCAATTGGTCAGTATCCCATGCAAATACAAACTGAGATGTCCCTTTCTGCACAGGCAGGGGATGTAATGGGCAAAACCAAGACCCTGAGTTGCCCACAGTGTGTAGAATGTATCAAAGACAAGCTTAGCCTGCAAAGGTGGAGACTGAGGGCACAGATACATGCAATGCTTAACCAGTTTGATATACAAATCAGTTTAGACTGTTGAAATGACTGTGCTTTGTTGAAGCCTGCCGCTTACACTTTGAGGACCAATCTTCTGCTCTTCTGCTTACACTTTGAGGACTAATCTTCTTCAGTTCTTAGGTCCTCACAGTTTGACCTGGTAGGTAGCTGCGAATGGTGTGCATCCTCCATCTCGTCTGCCATGTCTTGATGTATATATGTAAAAAGGATGTTCCTTGATCTGATTCACTGGCAACTCTTGGCTCTACATTGTTCCTCAGGGCTCAGCCTCCCCTTTCACCCATCCTTGCGCCAACCCAATCTTACAGATCTTGCTCAGGTTGTCTGTCATTAGAATACCGAGTATTCCTGTCCTCACAATTGGTTCATACTATAACACAGTAAGTAACTGACTCGTAACTCAGTCCTTGGGGTTTAATTGCATTACATCTAACTGGGCTAGCCCCTATAGTTTCTTTTTTTATCATTTCCCTTAAGAAAAGTCCAAAGGGGCAACTTTATCTAAGGGTCCCTGGGGGGTTACCCCCTCCCAGTGCAGTCAACTCACAGTTCGTTGCTTTTTCCCTTTCAGCGAGGCATCATGGACCTCTTGGCTCTCCTGTTTCCGGCCATTGGACCACTGTTACTGGTTGCTGAATGCAAGTAGGTGCTGAGACTCCTTCAAGTTTCTGGTCAGAAGAGCAGTTATTGCTCTTCTCATGTTGTCCGTCAGGGCAAGCTCAGGTTGGAGCCGGCTCTTCGGCAGCCACACTCCCTCCTCTCTGACTCCCCGTCCTCAGCTGGGATGGAGCAAGTCTTTATGATGTGACCAGCTGTGCGTTGCCCAACCTGGAACTGGCACAAGCTGGGAAAGCGTGGTGGCTGCAGCACCAGGGATTCCCCAGACTGCGCCATCTGCGCTTCTTCCAGTAACTTGTTGCTCCTGGGAAAAGCTTGTTCCTCCTTCTCTCACACCTCAGGAGAGGTGGGGACGCCCTCGGGGAGGTTTTGGGGCCGCAGTAAGGGTCAGTGGGAAGCATCCTGCTATGACAGACTGGTTTAGATCTTCTAGAACAGTTCAAAAGTGTACCTGAAAAATCAGATACTATTTTAAACTGGTGCTTTGTGAACTGGTTCAGTGTTACATGTGGACGCCAAATATTCTATGACTAGGGTCTGGTTTGTCCTCCGGGCATCCCACAGTGCACTGGTCCTCATCACTTCCCCCCTGTCCTACAACTAACTGTCTGTTCTAGTACATAGCCAGAACTCTACCACCCCTGGGGTCAGTCATAGGTTACTTGGCCAAGCCCAGTACAGAAGCCAGCAAATGACTGCAGTTCATAGGGTACCAGGTGGATTTGGAGTGAGTGGTCAGGTGGAGAGGGTGCTTTACCTGCCCACTTCACACAGAACTCACGGCCTGTGCCTCACTTTCTCTTTTGCAAACTGTAGTTCCATGCATAGTACCAGATGGCTCTGGTTGTGAAGAGGGGAAGGGAGATGCAGGGCAGACCAGTTAACAGGTCAATTCACTGACCAGTTCATTGAGCAGGGCACAATGTTGATTGCCCATTGTGTGATACCTTGATTTTCCCTACCCAGCTATGTTGATAGCTCCCATCTTGATTATTATTTTCTCTATTATTACATAACCACTAGCTGTGTCCTCACTCTTCATTTGACCTCAACTCTTCACCTCCAAGCAGATCCTTATGTGGGGGTCCACCATCCACCTGGACACTCCAAGTGAGCACAGAACATAGGAATCCCAGGCGCTTGTACATGCCATGCCGTTACCATGTACATATAATGAAAATGTCACTTTGCGTGGCTTAATAGTGTCAATTGTACACGTGCAAGGGTTTTGAGGGTTTTAAATGAGTTTGCATCATTGCAAACTAAACTACATCCCAATGTAGTTTAGTTTGCAATGTTGCAAATTGCAAAGATGCAGATGTCGACTTGCCCCTGGCTGTGGGAGAAGTGGACAGGCTCCATGGGGGAGAAAAAAAAGAAAAAAAGGATAAGGAGCTCTCTCTCTGCTTCTCCCTTCAGCAGGCTCCTGCAGCTGGCAGGACACCTGAGGCTGTGCAGGAACCCGCTGACTTGCCCCTAAAGCAGGGTGGGAAGGCTGCAGGAGGGCAGTTGGATTTGCCGGCGGCTGGACAAGGTGGCAGGAATGGTGCAGGGAGAAGAGGCAGGCATGCTCCCCAGCCGGCACCCTGCTTGGGGTGGGGGAGGGGGGCTCCAATTTTGTGTTTGCCCGGGGCCCCAGTACAGCTTAATGCGCCTCTGGGCCCTGGCCTGGGATGATCCTTCCTTGAGCAAGGTTGGACTAGGCCAGTGGTTTAGGATCTGTGACTGCGCGAGGCTGCCCCGCGGCAGAGAAAGCTCGTTCCAGAGCGCGGGCGGCGGCAGCCACAGCAGGGCGCGGAAACCGCGTCAGCTCCTGAGGCCCCGGCTCCAGGCCAAGGTCCGACCTGAAGCGCCCCCTGCCCCGGCCGAGCCGCCTGCGCATGAGCTCACACGGCTCCGCCGGCCGGCAGGGGGCGCCGGGTCGGGCAGAAGCGCCGCTCCGTCCCGCTGGTGTCGCTGGGAGACCGATGGCGCTGGGCGACACGGGCCCATGGAGCCGTTGCAGCCGCCGCCGCTCGTCGGCACCCGGAGCTGCACTGTATCCGCTGGGGCGGGGCGGGGCGCGGGGTGCGGGGT